GCACATGTGCATGTATACGTGGTCGGCCGGAACTATGAATGTGTGTGTTAAGTGTAGGAGTATATGTGCATAAGTATGAGCGGGATGAAAGTTGTAAAGTATCTATGTATTTGTGTGGTTGTCAATCGTTTTGAGTGAAAGTTACATCGGGAATGGAAGTTTCAAAGGGCGGCAAATGCGTCAGGTTACGATCGCTAAACCAATAGTTAGTTTGATCAGAAAGAAAAGCGCGCCAGCTAAGAGAAGTTTAGAGTTCGTGGGAGAAAAGAAAGTAAACCAAAAGTACAAAGTTTATTTTTATGGTGAGCTTAACCCGTTAAAATGGAAGAAAGTCGTTTGACTAAATTTCAACGCTGGAAATCCTGCTAGATAGAGGTCCTCGCCAGGCAGGGGTGTGATTAGGGCCTCTATATATTAAAGCGCCTAGCGCGGATACGTACATGTGCACACACAACCGTTATATACATAAGCAGAATATACCCGCAAGAAGTTAAACGCCCTAGAACGCACAAACCTGCGGAACATATTCTATGTATATAAAGAGCAGGGTAAATAAGAAGCACGGTGATCAACTCGAGTGGGAGCAGGGAAACGTCCATACATACATATACAATCATCCGAACACGCAAGCTTCCAGAGAACCAGACGTAGCGGGAATAGCATCCACACGCTCCGTCATAGCGCTCTTCAGAGGCGATAACAATCCAACGCGCTCACCGTACTGGCAAATTCAGCTAATAGAGTGGGGATATCAATTGGTGGACTTAACCTCACTTTTGTCACCACCAAGTCTTTATTTTTATTTTTGGTTATTTTATAGCATAGGTTTAAATGTTTCTTTTCGAATTTGAATGTCACTATTCTCTTGTTTTTGAATTTTTGAGCATCCATATTGGGCGGATCAGTCTGCATTTTATTTGTTAAAGTTTTGCTTGCGCCAGCAGTCATTATGAGTTGTTCACATACATATGTATTTTGTTAGTAGGCTTAAGCTAAGATTAGTTATACATTTTTTTCTGTTCTTTTCTCACCCATAGGCACTTCATTAGTTCTGCTAATATTCCTTGTTCAAAAATAGCGCTGTAGTAATATGTTTCATAAATTAATTTTAGTTTTGCTCGCAGTTTTTTTATGTTTTTGGTTTATTATAAAGAATTTTTTCCCGATCGCATTAATGAGAGTAATCGAAGTAGTGAAGGAAATTTAGTTGGAGTTGTCAAAGACTCGCACACGAGGCCCTTTCCAAGCTCCAATGTGGAAGCATGGGAAATATATGTTGTATGCGCTAATTACCTTTTTTGCAGCTCACCCATCTCTTTGATGCAGGCGCCTCCATGGGATGAGAGAGCGGTAAGTGCTAACATTTAAGCTTATTTACACACATACACATATACAGTGACAATGTTTTAGCATTTGTGTAGAGCGAGGGAGTGACGAAATTTAATCACACTTCTCATAGTGGAACAGGTTAGAATAGAAACATTTTGAATACTTGAAACGATACAAATACATATATTTTTGTTTTGAGTTTAGCATGTTTGAAGTAACACACGCTAATATATAAGTGCGTTTATGTACATGCAAACTTGCGATCTGCAATCGTGAAAAAATAGAAGTGTAAGGCAGTGAGATTGGATGACGGGCATATGAAGATACAGATACAATTGAATAGGGGGATTTGTAGATGCGAGCACTGAATATAGGTAATTTAAGAATAGTCATTTTTTTTATTAAGAATTAATAAGTATTTAGATAGTTAATTTTTTTTTTGGGTGAAATTGTGAAATACATGAGCTGGATTGAATAAGGGGGACGTTTATATATTGTAATAAAAACAAGTAAGAAAGTCTAAGTTCGGGCGGAGCCGAACATTAAATACCCGGCGCAGGTACCGCTACATGGTAAGCCGCTGTGTATAAATTTTGAGTAAATTAGCGTCCTTAAATTACGAAATATTGAAGTTTCAAGCATTTCTGAAATTTGCCGTTATATGAAAAGTGGTCGTAATTTGAATCTGATTCCAATAATTTTCAACGCTTTGCTTCTATGGGGCAAGCACAATAACCATACCGAGTTTGGTACAAATTGGTAGAACGGTTACCGAGACACATATATGTGATCATAAGTGGGCGGTGCCACACCCATTTTCCAAAATTTTATCATAAACGTATTTCTTGGTAAAGAATTGTTGCAAGCATCAATTTTGAGTAAATTAGCTTTAATATTTATTGATTTATCGAAGATTTCGTATTTCTCCATATTACCGTTATATGGGAGGTAGGCGTGGTTATTGTCCGATTTTAAAAATTTTCGGCCATTTGGTATGCTGTAGCAAGGCTAACAACTGTGCCAAGTTTGGAAGAAATTTGTGCAGCGGTTACCAAGATATACACATGTATCCATAAGTGGGCGTGGCTACGCCCATTTTCCAAAAATGTATAACATTCTTATTTTTCGTCTAAAAATTATTGTAAATATCAATTTTGAGTGAATAATCTTCAGTAGTTACTAAAATATCGCAGTTTTCGTATTTCGGAAAATTACCGTTATATGGGAGGTAGGCGTGGTTATTGTCCGATTTTGCCCATTTTCAATACCATCCGTCCTACGCCCGAAAGAAGTGCACGTACTAAGTTTCGTTAGGATATCTCAATTTTTACTCGAGTTATCGTGTGCACAGTCGGACGGACGGACAGACAGTCACCGCTTAATCGATTTCTCTTTTCATTCTGATCATTTATGTATACATTTGTCTATATCTATCTCGATTCGTTTTGCCTGTTACAAAAAACCGTTATGTGAACAAAGTTATAATACCCTTGTGCACAAGTGCGCTCGGGTATAAAAAAAAATATATGAGTTTGAAGTCTTGAGGAGGCAATACTATAGAGGAATATGAGTGGCTAAGTTCAGATCATTGGTGTGGGGTGTTGCACTAGTGCAACAGAGGGGAAATGGGTGTGTCGACAAGACGATAAGACAGACATGAGACTGAACGGACCATAGACCCTTGAATACATACGGACTATCGTCAGGTATAGGGGACCTTGCGGAGTAGTTGGAGTCGTGGCAAGGTCCATGTCTGCTTCGTGTATACCAGCAGATGAGGGGGGGGGGATGACTCCGCCTGACCGGACCGTTTTCCGTCTTTTCGCTTTCTCTCTTATTCTCGAATTTCTGTTTTCCAGAACAAGACATGACTCTACTTAATTTTGTTGATGTGGTTGTAGGTGAGATAGGTGGTGTTGACCCCCCCAACCAACGAGCTAGTCTGGGCTCGCCAGCATGCCTTTGTACCACTGTAAGTCGCCCTAAAAGCCAGCCACATAACAATGGCGCCCAACTTAATAGCCCGATAAACTCTTTTTTTTTATCTTCTCAAAGCTTCTATCTTTTATCCTATCCCATATTTCTATCTTACCTCTTAATACTATCACTTTTCTTTTCGGACGGAGTAGGTTCATTAAGGCAACATCGCGTGGATGCGTCCTTAGCGATCAGTGTCTTAATGAGAAATAGGGGGGGGATTACTATCTGGACGTTAGGGTTCCTTTGACAAGGTCGAACGCTTGTGGAAGTCGTATCCATCGACTAGATTAGTACGTTTTTGGGG